TCCCTCTGCATCTCCATTGTCAAAATTGATTCCATCTCCTGTCTGCATTTGCATTGCATCAATCCCCACATTCACCACGTTTCTCTACGTCTTCCAAGCTATTCTCTCAGGGTTCATCCGCCGAAACCGCTCTACTTTTTTCAACCGCCCCTCAACCGTACCTCTGTAGCGACTCAGTCCATACCTACTACCTAGGTATACTCTGCTAGTGGCGCTTTTCGTCTTTGATCCTACCGTATTAAAGAATCGCGACAGCCCACCTTTTCTTTTCTCACCTATAATCCCCCCCCCTCCAACACCGCCAAACTGTTCTCCTCCACGTTTAAACGCGTTACTCTCCGTTCCAGCGCTGGCCTTTCGATTGCGGCAGCGGCGACTACTTTTCATAAAACTACGAGAAAACCGGCTGTGGATTTTGGTGTCAGAAAGATGCATAGCAAGGTTGTCAGTATGTGCTTGTCCACGCCGCGTCCATATCCATGCCCTCGTGCTTATTGCCCCTCCATCGTGGAACCCCTCCTCCAAAACCTACAAGTCTGACGAGAATCAATTAGTTATCGGTTCAGGGCCTGCTGCCCACACAGCTGCTGTCTACTTGGCACGAGCTGAATTGAAGCGTGAGATTTACTTTCTCTCCTGGATTCGAAGATGGACTGACATCGCATAGCCGTTCTCTATGAGGGCTTCATGGCCAATGGTATTGCTGCTGGTGGCCAATTGACCACTACCACCGAGGTTGAGAACTTCCCCGGTTTCCCCAAGGGTATCATGGGCGGAGAGTTGATGGTAATCTTTTGCTTCTTCCTCGGTAACTCTGAGTAACTAACACAACATCTAGGACAACATGAGAGCCCAGTCCGAGCGCTTCGGCACAGAAATTGTCACCGACACCGTCACCACCCTCGATCTCTCTTCCCGACCCTTCAAGTACAGCACCGAGTTCTCCCCCGAGGAGACACACACCGCCGACTCCGTTATCATCGCCACCGGCGCCTCGGCTCGCCGTCTCAACCTCCCTGGTGAGGACAAGTACTGGCAGAACGGTGTCTCCGCCTGCGCTGTCTGTGACGGAGCCGTCCCCATCTTCCGCAACAAGCCCCTCTTCGTTATAGGCGGTGGTGATTCTGCCGCTGAGGAGGCTACTTTCCTCACCAAGTATGCAAGCCACGTTACTGTCCTCGTCCGCCGCGATGTCCTCCGTGCCAGCCGAACCATGGCCAACCGTCTCCTCAACCACCCCAAGGTCACCGTCAAGTTCAACAGCGGCGCCACCGAAATCCGAGGTGGTGAGGATGGTCTCATGAGCCACCTCGTTGTCAAGAACAACAAAACTGGAGAGGAGGAGGTCCACGAGGCCAATGGTCTCTTCTACGCCATCGGTCACGACCCCGCCACTACCCTTGTCAAGGGCCAGGTTGACATGGACGAGGATGGCTACATCAAGACCGTCCCTGGTACCACGTACACCAACGTCGAGGGTGTCTTTGCCGCTGGTGATGTTCAGGACAAGCGATACCGTCAGGCCATTACCAGTGCCGGTACTGGATGCATGGCTGCTCTCGAGGCCGAAAAGTTCCTCGCCGACCATGAGGACGACCAGCGAGCTGACGATCGACCCAACCCCAACTAAAAAAAGAAATAGACATAGACACCTAAAAATCTAAAACATATAGACTTGCGCCATTTTAGGCGGGATATAGATATCTACATAAAGAGAAGGAGCAGTCAAGACTTTCAATTTAATCCACTTCACGTTTGCATGATATACAGAAAGTTCCAAGCCGAGGTCTCTCTAATCTTTATTATTACTTGTGGTCAATGTATTTCATAAACTTCCTACACAAGATCTTTCAATCAACTTTTAGTTGCCAAACCTAAGACCACAGCATCGTTATGTCGTCCTGGCTGGTAATGGTATCATTCATTTTCTTCTTACTCTCGCCACAGGAGAGTAGGGGGCGTAATCTCCGTACCCTTGAGTTTCTCCAGACCCTCACCACCCTGAGAAACGTTAGCATCATATGCTTCATGAATACCATGAGATTTACTTACGTAGCTGATGAGGGGGGACACCTCAACACCGACCTCGGCTTTGTCACCAACGACAATGGCACCAGCAGCCTCGACCCATCGCTTGCCCTGGGTCATGATATCAGCCTTGCTGGTATCGGGGTCATCCTCGCCAGTGCCGGGAGCGTTCTTGAGGGGAGAGAACTCATCCTCACGCTTGACCTCGAGTGAGGCAAACTTGTCCAGGGTCAGGAAGGGGAAGACATCGAAGACGAACTGCTCCAGCTTGATGCCATTGGGCTTTTCGGGCTTGACGGTCTCGCCACTCTCAAGATCAGCAGAGGGGATCTTCTTGCGGGCGATGTGGTGGGGGAGCTTGTGAGCCCACTGAGGAATGGAATCGAGGAAGCTGAAAGAGTAGTAGTGGTTGACAATGTTGGCAGCACGGAATCGAAGGAGATCAGACTGCTTAGGGTCAAGCTCCTCGGCAGTGGCCTTATCGATCTCGGAGTACTCGACAACATCTGGCTTGCCGTTCTTGGAGAGAATCAGACCGACGGACTCAGTAGCGTTACGCTTGCGGACAACCTTGGTGGCAATGTCGACGTTAAGGGCGGCAGAGAAACCAATGAAGACGGGATCAGCGACCCTCACAAGGCAGTTGTCTACGCAGTAGGCGTGGATGTGCTGAATACCGCGCTTTCGCATATCATCAACAACACCGGAGACGACAAGAGCGTTGTAGAGGCCACCGTTTCCATCGGGGGCAACAGCAACCTTGCCCTTGGTTTCGAGAAGGATCTTGCCATCGTTGGAGATGCAGGGTAGAACACCCTGCTCGAAGATCTTGACGTTGTCCTGGCTCAGGCCAAAGTGGTTGTTTTCCTGGAAGAACTTTTCGGTAGGGCCACGGGTAGGACTACTGGTCATGACATACCAGGGAACCACAGCGTTGGAGCCCGCAGATTTCTTGGCAGCGAGCTCCTGGATCTTGACAATTCTCTCACCCTGAAGTTGGAAGAGAGATTTGTGGGAGGGAAGGCCAATGTCGTAGCAGCCCTTGGGGGCAGAGCTACCAAGGCGAGTGCCCTGACCGCCAGCCATGAGGACGACGGCGACCTGACCCTTGGAGATGAGGTCAAGACCAGAGTCGTACCACTTGGAGATATCATCGGCACTGGAGTCGAGAATGCTAGCGGTAGCAGATTCGGGGAGAGGCTCGAGGCGATCGGGCTCATCGCTGGTCTTGGGAGGGTTCAAGGCGCGGTGTGTGATCTCGTTGATATGGGCGGGGTCGAAGCCAGAAAGCTGCTGGTACAGAGTTCCTCGCTCAGCCGATGAGAGGGAGTCGTAGAAGGTGAACACTTGCTCTTGGCCGGCCTTTGTGTACTTCTCCTTGAGCTCGTTGAGAGCCTCGGGGCTAGGCTCAGCAGGGGCATCATTGGCCTTGCCAAGGTGAAGAGCTTGCTTGATGGCCTCCATTGTGATGGAAGTGTATGTGAGGTCTGGGAGAGTTGCGGTGAGAGCGATCAGAAGTTTGAAGCCGAATGTCTAGAAACTTCACAAAGACGGAATATTTAGAGGCTGGAATTGAAGAAGGGAGAAAAGAAAAGAAGAATGAGCTAGGAACTATGGGGTGGGAAGAGTTGAGATCTAAATACGAATTGAAGGAGGTTGATCTCGGAAAGACCCTTATGCAGCAGCCCGCAACTTTCCTTTACTTCTCCCGTTGTCCCTGACGTCTTCGGTCTTACCTTAACTTCCCTAGCAACGAAGACGCCTCTTACCTTACCTGTAACACCGTTTACCTCACCGTAAGTGAGGTAAGGTACAATCCATGGATGCTTGAAGCTCCTCCCACGCCGCCAACGCCAACCACCTAACGTCGAGCAACGCTGATGCCCCTCAGCTGCCCCGCCTACTCCGTTGGTACGCAAGCCGCAAGGTCCAATTGAGCTTGGTCCGCCAATTAGAGCGGGGGAACCGGCGACTGAGGACACCCCCTCGATCCTGCCTCATGCTTGCGAGTTGGTGCTGATGCAGCGGCGAGCGGGATTTGCTGAGAGCGCCATAGCGCCCATGCTGTTACGCTGCGGCCCCCTATTGGATTCTATGATAATTAATGCGTACGTAAGCTCAGCGATTTGTACAGTCAGAATTTATATCCAAGATCTAGAAACTGAAGGAACAGACTGACAACGATTGTAATGGCTGATGTCGTATTTGTCGGGACTACGACGGGATCCGCGATGTTCACGAAACGGCAAAATGATCCAGATTCTCATCAGGGACCTGCATTGTTCGTAATCGTCAACTTGTCTGTCTTCTATGTTTCATAAACCCACCCTGACATTGACGCCTAGAGCTCAGACACGAACTGACAGGGCTGTTTTATGTGGCTGTGGCGGCTGACATTGCGTCTTAGGTGCTGAAAATAGCACTCTGGGCCAGGAGGTACCGATAAAAATCCGTGCACTAGGTACTAATTTTGCCTACCAGCAATACTTTGAAGGAGATGTAACGAAGCCCAACATCCAAGGATAGCGAAGATTCATTTGGCAAGTATGAGAAAAGTAAGGTATGCAAAATTTATCACGGTATTTTCATTCAAGGGCATCCTCAGGTAGGCGAACTTCTAGCCGGAACCAATTATCAGGAACCCTCCCCCAAATTCATTGTCAGACACAAAGCTCTTGTTTCTCTCTACCTACCTACCTACCTTATTAGAGACCTTCAGATCTGGCTGCCTGTGGCGAATGAGCCAGACCAATCTTCACGTTGTTCTACTACATTGTGCTGTAGAACAGTTGCCTAAAGGTAAGGTATCAAGTTAACATATTCAAAAATATGATGTATTGATCTCCGAGAAGTATTTGAATACATGTCTGTCATCTAATTAGAATTACTTGAACCGTCTCACTATTCCCCGACTGGCGAAACCGCTAAATTGTCCCATCTTCCCACTTGAACGAGGAGACTACCAAGTCACAATGACGAGAAGAAAAGCTGTCCAAGAGGTCACCTTTCAGGATCCTGTAGGCGACGATGATGCCAAAGAGGAGCAGGAAATCGCAAGCTCGCCTCCTCAGCCAGCAACCTTCAAGGGACGTCTTCAGATGAGTGACTTCATGTTCAAATCAAACGAACCTTCAAGTAGCCAAACTTCCCCTATACAAAGATACCCGAGATTCACAACTTCCACCACTTCGACCTCAACCTCATCCACTTCAGCCGCCAAAACGAAGCGGACCAAAGAGCGAGATGCTGAAGACATAGAGAAAGAAATTAGACCAAGGAAAAAGAGAGCACGCCAGGCCTCTGGATATGCGCCTCCCTCAACATACGCGCATCTCAATGGCCTGCCAGATGCCATCGGCTCGAATCTTCTCGTTCTCTTCATCGGTCTAAACCCTGGTATACAGACAGCACGAACAGGCCATGCATATGCTCATCCTTCCAACCTGTTTTGGAAACTCCTCTACTCAAGTGGCCTCACACCGCGTCTCTGTACTCCAACCGAAGATCGTCAACTCCCTGAACTGTACTCCATGGGATTTACCAACATTGTCGCCCGACCCAGTCGCAATGGTTCTGAGCTTAGCAGGCAGGAGATGGATGAGGGGGTTGAAATTCTTCACGAAAAGTGTCGCAAATACCGTCCCGAGTCTGTATGTGTAGTGGGTAAGAGTATCTGGGAGAGTATTTGGCGCGTTAGACATGGCAAACCTGTTGGAAAGGCCTTCAAGTATGGCTGGCAGGACGAATCTGAGAACATGGGTGTGATCGAGGGCGAATGGGACGGATCTAAAGTGTTTGTGTCGAGCAGCACAAGTGGTCTTGCTGCTACGTTATCACCAGCTGAAAAAGAACGTATATGGGCAGAAATTGGAACATGGGCTCAGAAAAGGCGAGCCGAGAGGGAGCTTGAGGCAAAAGAAGAGAGCAAATAAATATTTGATAGTGTATAGTACATAAGAAATCGACATTTACTCTTTTCGACAAACAATTCACTACAGCAGTTGATTGCACGGCTTTGCCCTATCTAGAATGAACTTTTGCCTTGCCAGGCCCTTCTGATTTCAGATTGTAAGTACATCTTCCCCCAACTCCGTTACGCCAGAAGCCAAAGCACCTAGAGCATGGTCTTTTACTTGCATCGCTTCTCAACAACATTAGGTCCATTCTCCTCGTACTCCTTTCGCGAAATCCACATCTGGTGGAAAGTGCCCAGACTAGCGAGAATGCTACCGCCGATCCAGGCACCGAAGCGTCGCTCACTCGTGAGGCCTGCCGCATGAATCTTGATCTTGAGCCCAGGATACATCGCCATCAACTCGTTGTTCAGGCGGTCGTTGAACCCGTTAACCAGACTGGTGCTGCCAGTTACGACGACGTTAGCCAGGAGGTTGCCTCGAAGATCGACGTCAACCGCGTTCAAAGCAGAGCGGATAAGCTCGGGGATGGTTTGCGCTTTGGTGAGTTGCTCAGAGTCAGAGCCATTGTATCCGACGGTCTCGTCAAACATGCCCTCTGTCACTCTGAACCGCTGCTCGCGCCACATCTGGTTGTAACCATCTGGCATCTCGAACACCCGGCCGGGTTGCGTCTTAACATAATCCTCATTGCCGGAAACACTGTAACGACCGGGGCCTCGCCAGACTTCTACTACTGACTCCTTGAATTCCGTCAACACACGCTCTTCCTCATATGCGCGGAATGAATCGTTAATCTGGAAGGGGAAGTGTCGTAGTCGGACTGAAGGAGGTGCCAGGGCGTCGACAGGTGTCTTGTTCTCGATCATGAAGGTGGGTGTCAGCTCGATTTTGGGCTCTGAAGCTTCAAAGAGATTTCGGATCTGAGAAGAGAGCCAGATGCCACCAACGGGAGACTTCTGGATAGATCGCTTCAGCACCATGCCGTCGTGGATAGCTGTGACCGAGGTGTTGGCACCGCCCACGTCAATAACTAGTGAGGTAGCTTTGCCAGCGGCGAATGCTGCCAACACGGGAGTGCGACTCAGCCAGAAGGCAGGGCACCCCCAGTTCTCCATGATGATCTCAATAGCCTTCTCACGAGCCTTGGGTGTATTCCAGGGAGCCTCTGTAATCAAGAGGGGATTCTCGCCCAACGGCTTCTCGGCAGATTCGGCAGCATCGGCGTCGTCCATGGCCACATCGCCCTCTCCATCCTGGCCTTCTGCCTTGGGGTCGTCGTTTAGACCGTTCTTCGAGGGAGGTGTTTGTCGTTCGGGTTGCAAGCGCTTAACAAGCATGTTTTCCCAAATTCGAGCAGCAACATCCCAATCCTCCACTACACTATCCTTATTCATGTAGTTGCGGACTTCGAAGTCGGGGCGAGGGATGAGGCACTCATCACCAAACAGGTCTTTAGGGCTGTCGCCGGTTGTGTGGCCGTAAAACGATGGGAGGATAGATTTAGGAACATCTTCGCCGGCGAATCCAGCTCGAGTATAGCAGTATCCAGGATCAAGAACGAGGGCAGAAACCTCATCTATATAAACATATGTTAGTGGAGATCTTTGGCGGGCTGACGCGACATGGGGAACTAGAGCTGCGCGTACCTCCTCCATAGATGTCAGTGGGCTGCATAGACGTGGGAAGGGGCTGTTGAGCCATGATTGATGGTTTATGGATGGTATTCGCTATTTAGAGATGGTGAGGTGGATTGAATGATCCGGAGCAAAAGTATCGCGGAATTGGTGGAGTTGCGCCAGCCCGAGCGATTGATGTTCGCGTTGGAACAAAATTCAGCCTTGAGTGGTTGGTAAGGGAAACCTACGCCACACATTGTCAAGGCTACGATGTGGCGGCCATGGATGACTCCACCAAAGGTAGCCGGATTATTTTCGGCGAACCGGCTCTCTTTAAAATTTCGCAGATCGGCTTCAAATCGCTTCTCTCTTTTCTTCATACATGGAGCGAGAGTTCCATGTTACCATCATGATTGTAAGTACGAAAATTCCTCTCAAGTATCTCTCTTTCCTTTGCCTAAATGATGAATTCGCATACTCGCTTCAGAACCGCTGCGATTGACACGGCTTGCTGTGGTTGATTTAAACTGCCAATTTTCTGATTCTAGCGCAACGCATTTCTTTTGATGTCTTACCAATGAGTTATTGAAGCGTTGCTAACCTAGTGACAGAAGCCATGATGCCTGTACAATGCTTGCGACGGGCCAGTCGGCCTTTGATGCAGTCGATCTCCCATACCACAAGTATTCGTTGTTCACATGCGCTCGGCTGTGTCAATTCCTCAAGGACATTACGGGGCTCACAAAGCGTTGCATCTGGGAGGTCCCTAGCTACTTCGGCTGCTAGAAACCAAGATGGCCTGGACGGATACTCGTCTTTCAAGCAACAGCGCCGAACTGAGCTCTGGGCGGAGAAAGAGAGCGAGGATCCTCTATTCCAAGAGACACACCCTCGCCTCATCCATCATGCAGAGCGCAAGACGGTACCCGATTTTCATGAAGCTTTTCGAGATGCCCTTGATGATTCCAAGTACGTCAGCGTTTGTGGCCGAGTTCGATCCAAGCGCGTCGTCGGAAAGAATCTTGTCTTTCTCGACATCGTGAATGAATTTGAGCGTCTACAGGTTATGCTCAACCGGTCAAAGTGCATGGTAGAAGAGGAGGCAAGGGGTTTGAAGTTCGCAATGTTGAGAAATTTAATAGAAGTGGGCGACCACATATGTAGGATCCCTAATGTTTATCCTGTTATATCCTAGATGCTTACAGCCTGGCAGCTGTCGTTGGTGTTCCGGTTCGTACTAAAGCCGGCGAACTCACCTTGGAGGCCAAGACTTTGCCTGAACTTCTGTCTCCTACCATGGAGCAGATCCCAGAGAAACTCACCGATCCCAAGACCAGAATGCAAGAACGTCATGTTGATATGTTGGTGAACCGACAAGCAATTGATGTCCTCCGACTGCGTGCCGAGATCACCAAACACATGCGCGATTACTTTCACTCAAGAAAATTCCTCGAGTTCCAGACACCGATTCTTGCTGAAAACGCTGGCGGTGCCGTGGCCCGCCCCTTTGTCACGAGAGCCACGGAGTTCAAGGATAGAGATCTCGCCTTACGCATCGCCCCAGAATTATGGCTCAAGCGTCTCGTTATTGGAGGCGTCGACAAGGTCTTTGAGATTGGACCTTCGTTCCGTAATGAGGGTGTTGACGCGACACACAACCCTGAGTTTACTATGTGCGAGTTCTACAGCGCCTACAGTAACCTGGAGGACTTGATCAACCAGACCGAAGAGATACTCTGCAGTCTTGCCCAACACTCCCAGGACCTCATCTCTACCCAACTCACATCTCTGCCTTCCATCGATATGAAACAGTTTGTGCGACCTTTCAAAAGGGTCGAGTTCGTTCCCGCACTTCAAGAAGCCATCGGGCTTCGTCTGCCCAAGCTCTCATCTCCAGATGCTCTACCCGAACTCCTGGCTATCCTAAAGATTGCTGGTATCAAGGTGCCAGGCGATGTGCCTACCTCCCTAGCTAAGCTGCTGGATCGTCTAGCTGCCGTTTACCTGGAACCCATGTCATTCATCGAGCCTATCCTGATCATGAACCATCCCGCCTGCATGTCACCTCTTGCGAAGAGCTTCCTTTGCCCACGAACTTATCAGTTAGTATCCGCCCGTGCAGAACTCTTCATTGGCGGTCGTGAGTTGGCAAACATGTACGAAGAGGAAAACGACCCCGAAGAGCAGAAGCGTAAGCTACTCGACCACCGAAACCTCGTCAACAAGGACGACGGTAGCATTGCCATTGAACATAACGAGATGCCTGAAGGCGAAGCAGCTGTCAAGGAAGCTCTGGATGAGCCTTTTGAAGACGAGGACGGTGACGCTGCTCCCCTCGATCAAAGCTATATCAAGGCTCTCGACTATGGCCTACCTCCCACTGGCGGCTGGGGATGTGGTGTTGAGCGTATGGTTATGCTGTTTTCTGGCGCCAACCGCATCAGTGACTGTCTAAGCTTTGGCACCATAAGAAATGTTGTTGGGCTTTCATCAGCAGAGGAGAGCAAGATAAGTTCTGAGGAAGATAAGAGGCTCGAGGAAGACAAGCAGTCGGGTTCCAAGAGCTCATAAACCAACGCCGGAGGGTTTGTACTATCAGTAGACTTTAATTCATCGCGATGATGTATGAATGATGGAACTGTGTAATATTGTAAGGATGGCTATAGCCAATAAAACTGCATAGAACAATAGATGATATATCGCGTCCATGCCGAGTATCTGTTAGTCAGTCATATACCATAGGAAGACCTTGCTATATCAAGGGGTTCCCCGAGCTTTTGGCTTGGTCCAACAGTATCTAGACTATGCAAAGAATGATAAGATGACAACACAAGTGGGTTCCTGGCGGACCAGTTATGGAACAATTCTCAACTGGTATCTTGATATATATGTACAAAAGAAGAGGTATCCAATAATCAAATCAAATCAACAGCGAACAGATTCAAGTCAGGTCTCACCCCTACACAGAAATAGACAGCTGGAACAGGCTGCTTCCCTTCTTAGGGGTAGACATGGTCTTAATCCAGTCCCTCACAGTCTCATCGCTCAAAGATGATCCAAAGTCAAAGCTATCATCCAACTGCTTGATAGCGACGCTCGACGTACGCTCACAGAACACAACGGCAACCTTGATGTACTTGTCGGCAGGGCGCCTGAAGTAGTCAGAGCTTCCGGCGCCGTTTGTCAAATGGAATGTGCTCTTGCACTTATCATCGCCGGTAGCGAGGACCTCGTAGATGTCGACCTCACCACAGCCTGTCTTCCAGCAGCTGCATCCGCTATATTGGCCAGTTCGGGGGATACGGCCGTTGAGAGCCCAGAGGGCGGGCATGTCGCCGTTGAAGCCGGTGTTGCCATCGAAGGGCATCTTGAAGTTGAAGAGGAAGATCTTGTTTGAGCCAGAGAAGCCCTCTGTAATGGGTTAGTGAGTGTTATGTTTAGGTTGAGGGGGGGGTGCCATACTGTAGGCAACGTCAGGGACACGAGAGTAACCGCAGCTCTCGTCACACTTCTCAGAGCTGAAGATGGAGAATTCTTTGTTGGAAGGGATGAAGACGTCCTTGAGGATCTTGGGAGAAGAGGAGCCACCGTTTCCGTTGGCGTTAAGGTAAGAGAGGGAGTTGCCCCAGGTGCTATACTCAGTCAGTATCAAGGTGTGTTGAGATATGCGTAGTAACTCACTTGTCAAAGACTCCAGAACCCTCGCCGCCATAGTTACCCATGAAGATAACATTATCAGCAACACGTCGCTGAGCGTTGTAGTAAGCAGTACGCTTCCAGTGTCCGCCAGGAGTGGCAGTGTACTCCTTTGCCTTTGAGGTAGCCTTGCTCTTGACCTGGTCCACCTTGCTCTTGACATTTTCAACCTTGCTCTTGATCTTTTCCAGTCCAGGCAAGGGGTCAGCCTTTAGCTTCAAGGGCTTCTTCTCATCGACGACGTTCACAGCGTCGGTAGGGGCAGCAGGGATACCAACGGGAGCCGCCTGGGTCGCAGGGCTTCCGTTATAAGTGTTCTCCCAGGATACAACCTGCCCGTTGATGGTGGCGGTAACCCAGTCCCCACGCTTCTTCTTACGTTGTTCGTGGAAATGGCGATGGCCGTGGAGGTGAGGAGAGGGAGCAGAGTCACGCTTCTTCTCGCTGGATCCGAGATTGTAGACTGCAAACTCCTTGAGGTTAAATGGGCCACGAATGTGGACAGACAGCTATGTTTTGTCAGTCTATACTGTGAAATAGCTGAGTGACGGTGAACTTACATCCTCACTCAGAGGTCCAAGAGCACCGTCGTAAGAGAAGGGTTCCTGATCACAAGATCCATCATCTCCCATCTTTGTAACAGCCTTGAAACTTCCACTGCTGGAGAATCCCTCATAGAGAATCTGATCAATAACACCGCAGAACCAGTTTCCGCCTTCGTTGACGGCGCTGCCAGAGCATTGCTGTGTAAGGGCCGTGGCGAGGCCCGTGTAAGCCAGAATGGAAAGATTAGTGACCTTCATGGTTTCAAATCTCTTCCCCTTCAGTCTGAGCGACTATAGAGATATTTGAGACTTATTATCGAGTCGCTGAGATCGTCGATATCGACAATTGCAAGGAGTGTTTCGGTGAATGTCTTCAAAGAGTGGACTCAAAAGACAACAGAGATTCCAACAGATTTTAAGGAGTGACTAGAAGTAAAGACAAAGGAGTGTATAGTTTAACAAAGCAAGAAATGCCGAAAATGCACGACTGATATGTTTCAGTACCAACCTCTAGGAGGAACTCGAAGGATGGGGAGGATTTCCATCCTTCAGTGGGGAGATGGGCGATATTAAAGAGGATCCCAAAAAACACAACTACCATACACATACATACACTACGACTGCTGAGGACTCAAAGGGGTAAAGGAGCCCAGCGTCACCTCCAAGTCTGGGCAGCAGATCTCAATCCTGTTCCTGGTACAACCAAGCCTAGCTAGCAAGCGTAGCTAATAGTGTACGGAGTACGGAGTAAAGATGGCCAAGATAGGTTGGTGGTGTATTTGTTTCAGGCTACGAGGAGACTCTAGAGCCTTAGCCAATTACAGGCGTCAGATGACTTATTGAT